ATGTGTTTGCGCCATAGAGTTCATGAAGATGGGAATCATCAGAAGTCGTCGTAGAGTCTCTGAGAAAGAGAGCCAGGGCAGAAGTCAGAGGTCATAGACACACTGAACACACAATCCTGCTGAATCCTCGCTAAGCTCAAATGATTAAGTGGCCTTTTGCTTTATAACATTTGCCAACGGCAACATAAGGACAGAATAGCTGGATAAAGCCGTCTCTAGAGGATAATGCCCTGAAATCCAAGCGGACTTGGACCTCAGAGGAGGAGATAAGACAGAAGTTCAACTGGCTGGTGGGAATTTATAGACATTTAAAACAGTCTTAGCCAGAGCAAATGACTCTGAAGCGTGACTTAAGGACCCTGAGCAGTGCGTTGATCTGCTTTTCTACATAGTTAATGAGCGTCACTAGGAATTGGCTCTTCCTGTTGTGCTGTTTATGCTCCTGTTGAAGATGAGAGCATATAATGAGGCCACCGGCTGCTTTGTTGTCCTCTGTTAGTCACTCACTCATAATGCTGAAAGAATTTACTGGTGTAAGTGGTTAAATTAAACATAAAAAAGACAACAATAGTCTTGGCCTCTGGTGAAGTTATTAATGGTGGTCTTCTGCCACAGAATACTGTTGTTTGCAGAGAAACATTATGTTGAAAAGACATTTGAGATAATAAGGGAAGATGATCAAGGCAGGACATGACAAAATCGAACATCAAAGCGGGTACTGTCATGTACCAGCTGGATATTAAGGAATTTGAAATGTATTTTCCAGGATTGGAAAAGACATGGATAAACAGTCGTGGATATTTGTGTAGAGGATACACATTTTTGTAGTTACGCTCTGCTCTAAAATGTTTAAGCGCATAAATGGCTCGTGAGGAGTAAAATTTGGTCACGAGCCAAAGTGAGGTCTGATTTGAACGAATTGACTCCAAATGAAATTCATGAATCTTTTCTGTTAAACTTGTTTAAAAACGCTTCTTCGTTTACATGACGCCGTTTTCGCCTAAAAAAACGGAAAACTTTTTATGTGTTTTGGCCGTTCATTTACACAACAACTGCGTTTTTGGGGGCCTGAAAACGCAAACAAGTGCACGTTTTTGAAAATGATACTGTTATCGTCTCCATGTAAACTACAAATAAGTGAAATTGTGAAAACAGTGACATCATGCGCATGCGTTATAAAGCGATACCGCCAACTACTGGCCTGGCATGAATAATACAGCGCTTTTAGTCGTTTTCGCGGATCCATGTGAACGGTGATTGTTCTGACAACATTATCATCTGTACGTGAAAAACGTAAAGAAAAAACTTTTCCGGTTTAAGAACATTGTTGTCGTGTATAAACGTACCCTAAATGATTTAGTATAGCTAATCAAATTTTGATCCATTTTTTCATCACAAATAACTGGAACAGTGGAAAAGTCATGGAAATGTATTAGTCTAATGGGAACCCTGAAATACATTATTTCCTTACCTCCATTTACATACAATGTTATGGATGCAGTGTACTGGTGCAAATGGTGTAGAAATGGTTTTAGTATGTGATTTAATGGCAGATCAGAGGAGCACATGTTAACATGGTTACAGATATTCCATTGAGAGAGATGTACAAGACTTTGAGTCCTTTGATGTGTCAACCGAACAGCTCCTAAATCTCTCAGAAAACACACAGGGGCTGGTGTGTGTGTGTGTCTATGCATCATGAAGCATAACGACTGAACTGATCTGCCCATATGGTCTTCCGGATGCTGGAGCGGTCGATGGTCTAGATCTCTGCACTCCCACCCCTCAGGTGTCTTTTGTTCCCACCACGGTGTCCCCTCCCTTCTAGTCACCCACTTACTTTGAAGTGCCAATCATATCAAAAGGAGGCGCTCACAAAGAAAGAACCGCCAACACAGAATGTGTTACTTTTTTCCTTTGTCTCTTTCTCTCTTTATGACTTTGTATGCATTTTTTCCCCACTTTGTCAAACTCTTCAACACATTATGGAATTATTAGCACATAATGAATTACTATAATATGCTTAGCAGACCTGTTCTGATACCTTAACATAATGCATGTTTTTTTTTATTTTTATGTTTTTTTTTAATCTTTTGAGTGTATTTAATATACAAAAGGCATTTCATATGACAAAAATAGAAACATTAAAGTGAGTTACAATAACTTTAAGAACAATAAGAAATGTGAGCCCAGAATGAATCGAGAAAATGTCACCAGGATATAAACATGAGCATGCAATTTTGATCTAAATTGCTTTGACAATTACATTGGCAAATGTGCCTCTGAAATGTTAAGTCTCTTCTTGATGATGAATGGCTCAAAGAAACGCAAAACAATCCTTCATGCAACGAGCTGTGCGATAAAAATGAACAACAGTTCTGTTTGCTTGTTTAAGCGTCGTGAGAGAAGCGATAAGATTCCCGATGCAGAATTGTTTAGGCAAGATTCCAGCAGATGTTTGTACATCTCCCGCTGCTCGTCTCTCGCTCTTAGCTATAAACATGTCACAGTGGCACCAAACACTTAGCAAGAAAAGAGATGTAGGGTATGTTAGACAATGTTATTTTAGAGAGGGGGTAAATTTAAGGTACTGTTGAACAGAGACACATTTGAACTTCAGAATGCTCCCCTGTGCGTATGTGTGTGTGTGTGTGTGTGTGTGTGTGTGTGTGTGTGTGTGTGTGTGTGTGTGTGTGTGTGTGTGTGTGTGTGAGTGTTTGGCCTCAGGTCAGGGGATCTGGACCTCTAGCACCTGTAGCATTCTACAGGATTATCAGGATTACGCCAGAGCTTCCATGTCAATCAGAATTTGAGCAAAACCACACAACACTGCCCGCTAATCCCTTTATCTCATCTACCACACGGTGTGTGTGTGTGTGTGTGTGTGAGATGACTGTATCTAGACTTCCTGCATGCACTGTTGTCTGTGACACACATTCGCTTCCTGTCAGGTTAACCTCTTCACAAATAAAACATGACAGCACTTACTTGTGTCATAAGCATAACAGTTTGTATTTTCAAAGCTAGATTCATGTTCATTTCATAGTTAAGAGAAAAAGGACAGGTGGGTTGAATGACTGTGTTCATTTCTAGAAAGCTGTACTCAGAGTATGATTCTGGTCATTTATAAACAGAAATTTAACATAGACCAACGTCGATGAAGTGACATTTCAACTCATAGTCACCGCAGGCAGAAAACAAAATCATCAGCAAAACTTGACACAAACCATGTTTATCCTATTTCTGAGCAAATCCATATTTCTTTAAGTTCTCTTACATGCATATTGTTAATGGTTTTTAAAGGATGATGGGATATCAAGCAGTCTTTTAATGTTGTTGGCATCTCTATAATTTGGCCTGCTTCTACACTGTCGTATAACATCTAATTTAATTGATTTTATTCAAAAAAAAAATTTTTATTTAACATTACTGAATCAAACTTAATATATTAGGTTACATAACAAAACTAAATTCAAGGGTAAGATCAGGTAGAAAAATCTCTTTAACGTAACAATGCAGTCAAGATAATTCAGTCAGTTCAGTCGGAAGATTTTTTAAAAAGAAGATAATACTTTTATTCTGCAGATACATTAAAATCATCAAAAGTTACAGTAAAGACATTTAAAAATATTTATATTTCAAATAGATTTATATTTACAAATGAATCCTGAAAAAAAAAATTATTAGGTGAAATATTTATTGAGCATCAAATCATCATATTAGAATGATTTCTGAAGGATGTGATTAAAGACGTGATGATGCTGAAAATTAAGATTTGCATCACATAAATAAATTACATTTTACAATATCAAATAGAAAACAGTTATTTAAATTGTAATAATATTTCACAATATTACTGTTTTACTGTATTTTTGACCAAGTAAATGCAGTCTTGTTGAGCAATATAGAGACTTCTTTCAAATTTTTGAACAGACGTGTAGTTAAAACCGCTATTAAATCATAATCAATCACAATCACAGCAAGTGTATTAGGGTAAGTTTTCATTTCTTTTTTTGGCTTATAAGCCTAAAATGATCTGTTTAAGTAGCCTAGCAGGCTTGTGACAACTTGCCCCTGTATGACAGTTTGCCCCACTATTGGTCCACTCCTGAGCATTACTGTTAGAAATATTCAATAGCTTTTTAAAATATGTTCTTACAAATAATTATATATATATATTTTTAAATAGCCTGAATCTACCTTAAGATGACAAAACAAAGACAATAATTGGAACAATAATTGGAAAATCCAGAATATTGAATAGGATGATTATTGTCATCTTACTGCTCCCGACTGAGCCTGGTTTCTCACAAGGTTTATTTCTCCATTCTGCCACCTGATGGAGTTTTGGTTCCTTGCCACTGTCACCTTTTTCGGCTTTTTTTTCCGCCTTTGTCGCCATTGACTTTTGACTTGCTTAGTTGGGGACATTTACATTTAATTTAATATTCAACAATATTATTGATCTGCCTGCATTGACCATTATATGAGAACTGAACTGAGCTGGACGATGACATCACGGTTTTCTCCTCTCTCTCTCTCTCTCTCTCTCTCTCTCTCTCTCTCTCTCTCTCTCTCTCTCTCTCTCTCTCTCTCTCTCTCTCTCTCTCTCTCTCTCTCTCTCTCTCTATATATATATATATATATATATAGGCTATATATATATAAATAATTAAAAATATTTATAAATATTTAACAAAAATTAAACATCACTGAACTTACTTAAGCTGGACCGTGACGCTATTTTCTTCTAGAAACAAACTTTGTTGCATTATTTTCCTGTTATCACTGTAAAGCTACTTTGAAACAATCTGTATTGTAAAGAGCGCAATATAAATAAAAGTGACTTGACTTGACTTGACGCTGTACTTGATAAATTCAAAGATAAAGACAAACTACTTAAGGGCTTGGGCATGTGCTCTGATTGGTCAATCCCGCTGTCATTCACACGCCCCTCTCCTTTAAATCGAGCGCATGGCCCGCAGTTCAGCTCACTCAGATGACATGAACCAGTGGGAGGCGATGGAGTGATACGCGCGAACAACACGCGCTCGTGCCAGTGTAACAGCTGTGTGTTCCTACATCTCCACTGTCCAGACCAAATGAATTCAACATCTTCCGACGACTCATGCTCGTATTTTCCCTCTCCCGCGGAGATGCCTGCATGTTACAGGGACTTATGCGGAGGAACAAGTAACTTTGCCAATATGCCCTATTGGACATTGACATTCCACACAGGAGAGTCCTATGGAATATAGTCTGCACTGTCACTCTACTCAGCCGGTGAAAAACAAACTTTTCGTGTTCTGCATCATGCTGTCACTGTGGGTGTACATGATGTACTGCTGCGTGGGCTACTGCTCCACCTCACCGACCTTCATGATGGAAGAAAGGAGACTCCGACCTCTCCAGAAACAAGACCAGGAGATGTTCCTCAAAAGCCAGTCCAGGGACTTATTGAACAACGAGAGTGATGCTGACAGCAGAGGAGATGGCTGGGAGGAAAATAAGGGCGATGTTGGTTATGACGAGGACTCGGGAGTGACAGGTGCCCTGAACGGGTCCGAGACCAAAAAGTTGCCCCAAGCGATTATAATAGGGGTGAAGAAGGGCGGGACGCGCGCGCTGCTCGAGTTCCTGCGTCTTCATCCTGATGTCCGCGCGGTGGGAGCAGAGCCGCACTTCTTTGATCGAAACTACGAGAAAGGTCTCGAGTGGTACAGGTGCGTTTATCCACACAACACGCTGTTATTCATACGTTTTTACATCGTTCAGGATAATAGCGGATTAAGACCGGGGAATTATGTGGCGCATATTCATCCGAGTTGTGACACATAATAAACCTGTTAGTAGGCTATAGACAGTGTGGGAACTATGGAAGACTTCAGGAGCTCTGACGCCACTGTAGGTTTGCGATTAAAGGAAAAAAAAAAGAAAAGAAGAAGGTTGGACGAATTCAGTTCTTCTCAAATGTTCAAACATTTCTGTAGGCTAACCAACAAAAGTTAGATTACAAGTTATAAAATGATAAATATAATTTAGAATTATAATTTAGTAAACAATTTATTGAAGGAAATCTGGAACCGATACATTTCCATGACTTTTCCGGGTCCTTTGTGATTTTTTTATTTCATTGCACTAAGGCAATTTCTAGCCGATGACCATTTAATATTGATTAATCATTTTCTATTGACTTTAAGTTTTTACAAATTTTATTGGTTTCCATGCCTGGAATTACAATTTTACAATTCCCTAATGATTTTTTTCGGGTTTTAAATAACTAATGCCGTGTTTAAAAAAATAGCTGCTTTTGTGTTTTGGCTTGCTATTTGGCCTTACAGAAACTTTTTGGTTACACTTTATTTTAAGGTGTCTGTGTTACAGTGCAATTATGCATTTAAGTACTGAGTAATGTGAATTAACTAGTTAGTACTAGGGACGAGCAGTTATATAAGTACTAGGGTTAGTACTTAAGGTTTGGTTTAGGGTTAGTTGCATAATTATGCATAATTTGTAGTTATTAATACAGTAATGTAACATGCAACAATGACACTGTAAAATAAAGTGTTACCAACTTTTTTGTTGTAGATGTTTTGGGTCCCAGTTTATTATGTTTTTACTACTAACATTCAAATGAATCATTTGATACAATGCACTATTGTGTACATACATGTTTTTACATTGTACTTATATACAGGTAATACCTGCATGATGTATTTAATTTCTGTAATTCCATCTATAATTACACTGTTGACCATTCCCTTACACCTTAACCCACCTTTAAACCTACCCATACCACCAAACCCGTCCCTTACCTTACCCGTATCTCAATAGCAGCACAGTGTTTTGACATACATCATCAACGCGATAAGCACACTGTACTATTAATATTTTTACATAGTAATAAAGTACATGGTAGTTGAAGGCACCTTACCATGTTTTGTATAAACCATTTAGACATTTATTACATTTTACATATTACAAACAGAACTTCTGTTGATGGGCATGATTTAGGCTACATTAAAGGAAACCGAAAGAGAGAAAAGTGAACTTGTTGAGTGGGAACATGTATATTTAGTCACCCGCACTATGTTGGACATGTGGGAATGAATTCTTTCCAACACAGTGTAGTTTTGTAATGGTGAACTAGATAAAATGCTGGAATGACTCAAGGCAAACATAGACTAAATAAACATTGTGCTCTGTGCTTGTGTAACACCCCTTCATAGTCAGGTGCATTTGCACAACATTATCAATCCGTGCAGGTTTGACCCTCACCCTTGATTCCTAGTATTTTTATTCTTTTACCAGACAAAACAGATGAGACCGTTTCCCCCTTGTGGGATTTTACATTAAGTTTGTTGTAGAAGAGTTGTAGTATAAAATTGACACATAGTCATGAGAGAGTTTGTTTGGCCAGTTATCCCTCTTAAAGGGATAGTTCACCCCAAAATGAAAATTGTCATCACTTACTCGCCCTCAAGTTGTTCCAAAACTGTGAGTTTCTTGCTTCTGTTGAACACAAAAGAAGAGATTTTAAAGAATGTTGGTAACCTGACAGTTGACAACCACTGATTGACTTCCATAGTAGGAAAAAAAAAATACCATGGCTGCCGTCAACTGTCTGGTAAGCAACATTCTTTCTTTCTTCTGTGTATAACAGAAGAATGAAGCTCATAAGAATGATAACTCATATTGGTTGAACTATCCATTTAAAAATAAATGTTTCAAAATGGGGGTTTTATGGTGATGCCATAGAAGAACCCTTTTTGGTTCCCTAAAGAACCACTCAGTGAACAGTTCGTAAAATAACCATTTTTTTCTTAGTGTGAAGAACATTTGAATAATCTAAAGAACAATTTTACTCTATAAAAAAAAAAAAAAACTTTGTGTAATGGAAAGATTCCATGGAAGTTAAAAGTTCTTAATGGAACCATCAATGCCAACAAAGAACTATTATTTTTAAAAGTGATACAAAATGTTGACTATCACCAATCAATTTGTCCATTTTGCTAGTTCTTTTGGCCCAGAATCACCTTAGACTGTCTGATTGACAGCGGCCAAAAATTAAACTGCCAAAATGAAATGCTGGAAAGCCTATAGCAAAGGAAAATGCACCCCAAAGCTTTTTATTGTTCACGCGGCTACAGACCTTCTGTGGAGGAATCTGAAGACCCAGTTCCTTCAGTATTGACGCACAGTGGGAATACAAGGAAGAGGAAAAGAGCAGGATGAGCCCCTTTATCTAGGGAGCCCAGTAGACTAATTGTGAAGAAGAAGCATGGAGAGAGAAGCATGCAGCCAGGTGGCCAAGTCTCCAGTGGAGGTATTGAGCTCTGCTGCACTGTTAGTCCAAAACAGAAGAGGCATCCATGTGCTCCCTGCAGGAGGCGTTCAGAAGGGTGACTGAGCACAGGGCTTTATAACTGTACATGCAGTGGGATGTTTCATATGAGGCTTTTGAAGAAACAGAAGGGCTGATGAATTCAATAAACAGGCCATGCATTTGTGGATATTTATGATTTTGTTCCTAATTTTGAAATATTTTACCCCCTAATCTGATTTTCTTTCCCAGCAAACCCTTACAATATTAAACCCTGTAAAGCCTGACATAAAATAATAGTCAGAAAATATAGTTTATTGAACCTTTAGACAAAATATATTAAATAAATAAAAAAAGTCCGCTTGTGTGTTTTTGTTGAGTATCATATTTGATACTTCAGGCTTTTATGCCTTGTACACTGCAAAAACAATTATGTTCAATAAGTTATGACAACATATGTTTTATATTGCTATAACTCATCAAAATAAGTTTAGCAATTTTCTACTTTTTTAAGTTATACAATAATCAACTAATTTAGGTTGAAATTACTTAAACATCCACGTTGTGTTACATGTGTGTCCTGAGTTTCCCCCCGTCTCTGTGTATTTGGTTTAATCCTGTGTCACTTTTCCCGCTCCTCGTTAGTTCTCAGTTCCTTCACCTGTCTACCTGTCATTATCAGTTCATTTGCCCCAGCTGTGTCTTGTTCTCATTATCCGTTCTAAGTGTATTTATACCCTGTGTTCTCCCTCACTCCTTGTCGGTTCTCGTTTATGTAACGTTGGTATTAGGTGTGTTTGTATCCTCTGCCCGTCTGCTCCTGTTTATTGTTTTGATTTATTAAGTAAAGTATATTGTTTTTGGAAATCCTGTTCTCCTCGTCTTCCTCTGCCTACACCAACCGTAACAGAAGAACCGACCAAAAGACAAGCGTGATGGCTGAAGACAGACTCTTCAACTTGCAGCAGAATGGCCGTTCGTTGGAGAGGTATGTAGAGGAGTTCCTGGAGGTTTCCCATCTAGTGAACTGGGGTGATTCCACTATTAACGGCTGCTTCCGGTTGGGACTGGACGATGATAATTTATTCCATTTCATCTCCGTGGAGAATTGTTATAAATCCGTCCCGGACTTTATTAATTATGTCCTAGAATTACATGGTTCTGATTTCCTCGTTGACTATGCAGAAGATAGTCAAAATCATCGTTCAGTTCCTATCCGGAAGTATGTAGGCGCCCCAGTTCACCTCGATCCGGAACCCTCTGCATACCTCTCCAAGAACTCCGTGTCCCTTACTTCACCCAAGATGGCCGAGTCTTCACTGCTGGTCCCGTCTAGCACAGATCCCGAATCAGAGCTTCCGCCGCTGGTCCCGTCCAGCCCAGCCGACCCTTCACCACTGGTTCCGTCCAGCCCAGCCGACCCTTCACCACTGGTTCCGTCCAGCCCAGCCAAGCCTGCACCACTGGTTCTGTCCAGCCCAGCCAAGCCTTCACCGCTGGTTCCGTCCGGCCCAGCCAAGCCTGCACCACTGGTTCTGTCCAGCCCAGCCAAGCCTGCACCACTGGTTCTGTCCAGCCCAGCCAAGCCCTCACCGCTGGTTCCGTCCAGCCCAGCCAAGCCTGCACAGCAGCTTCACGTCGCCTGCCCGCCAGCGCCCCACTGCAGCCCTGCCGAGCCTGAACTTCCCCGCAGCCCTGCCGAGCCTGAGCTTCCCCGCAGCCCTGCCGAGCCTGAGCTTCCCCGCAGCCCTGCCGAGCCTGAGCTTCCCCGCAGCCCTGCCGAGCCGGAGCTTCCCCGCACGCCTGCCGAGCCGGAGCTTCCCCGCACGCCTGCCGAGCCGCAGCTTCCCCGCACGCCTGCCGAGCCGGAGCTTCCCCGCACGCCTGCCGAGCCGGAGCTTCCCCGCACGCCTGCCGAGCCGGAGCTTCCCCGCACGCCTGCCGAGCCGGAGCTTCCCCGCACGCCTGCCGAGCCGGAGCTTCCCCGCACGCCTGCCGAGCCGGAGCTTCCCCGCACGCCTGCCGAGCCGGAGCTTCCCCGCACGCCTGCCGAGCCGGAGCTTCCCCGCACGCCTGCCGAGCCGGAGCTTCCCCGCACGCCTGCCGAGCCGGAGCTTCCCCGCACGCCTGCCGAGCCAGAGCTTCCCCGCACGCCTGCCGAGCCAGAGCTTCCCCGCACGCCTGCCGAGCCAGAGCTTCCCCGCACGCCTGCCGAGCCAGAGCTTCCCCGCACGCCTGCCGAGCCAGAGCTTCCCCGCACGCCTGCCGAGCCAGAGCTTCCCCGCACGCCTGCCGAGCCAGAGCTTCATGTCACGCCTGCCGAGCCAGAGCCTTCTCCGCTGGTCCCGTCCAGTCCTCCCGAGCCTTCTCAGCTGGTCCCGTCCAGTCCTCCCGAGCCTT